GCTGATCTCTCCCCAGTTTACAGGTGTCAACAACCCTCTACCTTTTGTAATGGTTTTGATGCTCTACTATTCAACCTATCCTTTCTTTTACAATTTTGCTATAAGCCATGCCTGATAATGCCTGTCTTCAATTTCACTGCCCTGTAAACTGTTTTTAGCTCTATTTAAAAACCTTTACTCAGGTGTGGTCATACTGACTCAGGTGTAAAAATGACAGACAGTGAAGTACTGAAGGCAATGTCAAAACACTCAGGCTTTTGTTTTATGAATCTGAGTAAGAGACATGATATATTTCATAGATTTCATAGACATCAGGGCTGGAAGGGACCTCGGAAGATCATCGAGTCCAGCCCCCCGCCCAAAGGGCAGGAAGTCAGCTGGGGTTATAGGATCCCAGCAAGATAAGCATCCAGTTTCATCTTGAAGGTGTTCAATGAAGGCGCTTGAACCACCTCCGGTGGCAGGCTGTTCCAGACCTTGGGGGCTCAGACAGTAAAGAAGTTCTTCCTTATGTCCAGCCTGAAACGATCTTGAAGTAGTTTGTGACCATTCGATCTCGTCATCCCTTGGGGCGCTCTGGCGAACAAACGTTCCCCCAGATGCTGGTGGTCACCCCTGATAAACTTGTAGGTGGCCATCAGATCACCCCTAGATCCTCCTGTCCCTTCTCAGCCCATAGCCTGATACTGGGAGGATCGACGAGAACACTACCTGTGCCCCCAGACCCTTAAGCCCCGCTCCCAAATCCCTGTAGCGCCTCATGACCTGGCTGGGAGTGCTCCGAGCAGTGTCATTGGTGCCCACATGAATAAGGAGCGTGGGATAGTGGTCTGTGGGTTTAAGGAGCTTTGGGATCCTCTCCGTAATGTCCCGGATGCGGGCCCCCGGGAAGCAGCAGACTTGCTGGGCTAAGGGGTCGGGGTGGCAGATTTGCCCCTCAGTCCCCCTCAGGAGGGAGTCTCCCACAACAAACACCTTACGTTTTGTCTTGGGGAGAGCAGGGGC